GCTTAGGGCTTAGGGCTTAGGGTAAAACCCCAACTTACCCTTAAACCCAAAGCGATAACACCTAAACCCTGCAACTGTCATTTATCAGAGATTCAACTCCTCCAAGGCGAGGTTCGCGAGGAAAAGTTTGAAGGCCGAATCCACATTACATCCCGAAGACCCTAATCTAAATATTCAGGCGCTCATCCACGTCCCCAGCCCTATATACCCCTTCCCAGGAGTTTCAACCCTAAACCGAGCTCCCTGAACCCTACTACGGAGGTCTCAGCAATTAGTCATTCATCTCGCCTGATGAGTCTATATCTATATCTATATCTCTATATATATATATATGTATATATATATATATATATATGTATCTATGTATATATATATATATATGAGAATATATATTTATATATATATATATATATAGATCTAGTGGCGACTACAGTACGAAAGCTCCAGGTTCTGTCCACATTTGTCCACCCTCTCTGTGTCGACCCCTCGGGACCAGGCCACAGAACCCGAGGTCGTCTTGCCACTCTTGCGCCGCCTGGCTTGCTTTGGAGCTTTAGGGTTTAGGGTTTAGGGTTCAGGGTTTAGGGTTTCGGGTATTGCTTTTTTTGCGGGGGTCCTTCATCAACATCTGGTACAAGGCCACCCAAAGTGGGTTAAGTATTCAGATTCAGGGAGGACCAAAACCCTAAACCCTAAACCCGAGGATTTAAGGTCAAAGGGGAGATGAGTTGAATATTTCAAGCTGGGAGTTTAGAGGTTGCGTTTTAGGGGTTTGGGTTGAGGAGGCAGCGTAATTCTGCGAGAATACACCCCAAACCCCTGCTCTCAAGGCTCTTTATACAACTCTCACACGGAATCCCTGAACCCTGAACCCTAAACCCTAAACCCTGAAACGCAGGCCGGGATCTGTGGAGAGTAAAGGCCCCATCGTATTAAAACAAAGACCCCAAACCCTAACCCGTTTTAGTACTCCGGGTTCGAATCCCAGGGGCGCAAGACCGAGCCATTCTGATCGGTGACCACAAGCAGGTACCAGGGTTTAGGGTTTAGGGGTTGAGAGTTTACGCCCAGCATTGGGGTTAAGGAGATAGGTAGTTCTCTAAATTAGGGTCCCTTCTGGGGTCCGCAACATAGTACGGCAACCTTATAAACAGGACCCTAAAAGGGACCCTAGTTTAGAGAACTGCCCATCTAGTGTTTAGGCTTTAGGTGTGAGCTTGTTTTCCAAACTTCCTGAGACTCATGTAGGGGCCTAGAATAATTACCTAAACCCTAGCCCTAAACCCTAAACCCTAACCCTAAACCCCAAACCCTAAACCTTAAAACCCGAACCAAAGCCAACCTAAACCCCTCTGGCACCGAAAGCTCAGATTTAGATCTGTTAATGTAGGGGCCTTAATAACTTAGAATAGGGTTTGTTGGGGGGCTCCTTTAAAGGTTTCCTTAAAAGGTTCTTTCAAGGCTACTATAAGGTTTACTGGCCTTAATAATTAGAGCAGGTTTTTGGGGCCCATTATGCTATAATTATAGTAAGGAACCCCCGCAAAAAACTTTGAGGAATTCAGTAGGGTCTGCGACCTCGGACAGTTGAAGGGCCACTTGGGTTGCGAGCAGCGAGTTTCTGGATTGTTTCGGGTGAGGACCTTCAGGCATATGGCCTTCCGGGTTTACAGCCCTAACCCTAAACCCTAAACCCTAAACCCTAAACCCTAAACCCTAAACCCTAAACCCTAAACCGTTGCCTGCTGTCATGGCAGTTCAGAGGCGGTACGACAGGCAGGTTGGGAACTGATAACCCTAAACCCTAAACGAATTGATAATTCCTCCAGCCTGCAACCCTTCTGTCGGGCATGTCAGGCCCTAAACCCTAAACCCTAAACCCTCAACCCTAAACCCTACACCCTCAACCCTCAACCCTAAACCTTAAGCAAGCCTCGCTGCAGCATAAACCCGACACCCGAAACCCCGGAGTCCACCCGGTCGAGGAGCCGATATCGGGACTCTAGTAGCTCCAGTTTTTAGAACAGGGGTTCTTTGGGGTTTAGGGGTTTGGGGGCTTAGGGGTTTAGGGTTTTAG